GGGTGGCAGCAGGAGCATTAGTGCATCCATTACAATTAGCCAGAATTATTTAGACTCTGTGGGTTTTCTGAATTAGGTTTCCAGTGACTGACTTTTATTTATTGATTGGGACAAGCTAATGCTTTAAAAAAAAGAAACAGAAGATCTGTTCACCTCACTCAACCATGGGGAAGCATTATAATTTGAAGAAAAAAACTGATAAATACAAATAAAATATGTGTGAAGATAATTCATGGGGAAAATATAGCTTTTACATGAAAACAAAGAACATGAGTAACATTATTATTTCATTTTGTTAGCTCCCAACTTCTAAAAAAAACAATATCTAAATGATCTGTTTATAAGCAAAGAATAATGTAAAACAGCTCAATAAAATATATTGCAAGGTGCGTGAGTCTTAATTGGGTATAATATTAATAGAAATATTAAAATGCTAAGAAAAAAAAAGAAAGTTACTTGTGCACTAACCTAAATTTTTATGTACATTTAAATAACTGGAGCTTACAGTGCTGCCACCCACCCCACGTGATCCCCATTAAGGGTTAATAAGTATGTAAGGGGTCTAGACAAATACCCCCTTCTGTCTCATTTTATATTAATTAGTGAAGTACTTGCCTTGAAGTGGCAGGTGAGCTTACTTCTTAAATGGCAATTGTAGTGATACTAAAAGGACCTCTAGTTATTAAAATTTACATATGGATGCAAGTAACTTTTTACATATGGATGCAAGTAACTTTTTGGGGGGGGCTGATATGTACTATATTCATTGCTACCACCTAGGAGTAGTTGGAGTTTGAGTGCAGGGCTTAATTTTGTATGTTTATAGTAAAATGTTAGATGGACTTTCTAATTCCTTACACTTTGTTTTTTACAAGGTAAGCTCCAAATGTGAACTTCAACAATGATGTTCAAGAGCACAATATACATTGATATTGAATTTCTAATTCCATGAAGCCGGTTCTGCTGGGAAGTAAGTTCTTTCACTGGAAACATACTGTTATTTTGCAACATTATTTACACTGTATATGTTATGTAAAAAACAGATAAAATGTGTATCTTGCAATTAGAATTGAGCAGACAACTGGATGTTCGGGTCCGGCGGGTTTGGCCGATCTTTGAAAAAAAGTCCGGGTTCGGGCTCGAACTTTACCCCGAACTTGACCCCATTGAAGTTAATGGGGACCCAAACTTTTGGCCACAACAATGTCTCTAAAAACTCCTGGAAAGGGCTAGAGAGCTGCAAAAGGAAGTAAAATGGGGGTAAGAGTAGGACAAGTGCCCTGCAAACAAATGTGGATAGGGAAATCACTTAAAATAACATAAAAATTAAAAATACAGCTAAGCCATTAAATAGCACTAGATGGAATCTTTGAATTTAGCTTTGGAAGAACATAAATCAAAATCTACAGCATGGCTGTCAGGAGGATCAACAGAATTATCCATTTGAGAGAGGGTTGGAGTGCAGGGTATTCTTTTTCATTGTTCAAACTGAGCTCAACTCCTGATGCATGGAGAAAAGACCTTCACAAGCCTCTGCTATTGTGTACCTAGTTTATACTAAATGACCCATAGGTTGAGGAGGCGGTGGCGGTGGAGAAGGAAGCAGCGGTGGAGGAGGAGGATGAGGTAGCCAACACTGTATTTTATGTTTAGTTTTTTTTTTTAATTTGTGGTAGCCCACAAAATATTGGGACATACAAATAAAGAAACATTTGCGGCCTGCGGTGCATTTCTTGCAGTCCTGATGCATGGAGAAATGCTCAACTCCTGATGCATGGAGAAAAGGTCTTCACAAGCGTCTGATAATGTGTACCTAGTTTATACTAAGTGACCCATAGGTTGAGGAGGCAGTGACCATGGCGGTGGAGGAGGAGGTTGAGGTAGCCAACACTGTATTTTATGGGTTGTTGTTTTTTTTTTATTGTGGTAGCCCACAAAATATTGGGACATACAAATAAAGAAACATTTGCGGCCCGCGGTGCATTTCTTGCAGTCCTGATGCATGGAGAAATGCTCAACTCCTGATGCATGGAGAAAAGGCCTTCATAAGCCTCTTCTAATGTTTACCTAGTTTATACTAAGTGACCCATAGGTTGAGGAGACGGTGACCGTGGCGGTGGAGGAGGAAGATGAGGTAGCCAACACTGTTTTTTATGTTTGTTTTTTTTTAATTGTGGTAGCCCACAAAATATTGGGACATACACATAAAGAATCATTTGCTGCCTGCGGTGCATTTCTTGCAGTCCTGGTGCATTAAGAAATGATCAACTCCTGCTGCATGGAGAAAAGGCCTTCACAAGCCACTGCTAATGTGTATGTAGTTTATACTAAGTGACCCATAGGTTGAAGAGGCGGTGACCGTGGCAGTGGATGAGGAGGATGAGGTAGCCAACACTGTTTTTTATGTTTAGTTTTTTTTAAATTGTGGTAGCCCACAAAATATTGGGACATACAAATAAAGAAACATTTGCGGCCTGCGGTGCATTTCTTGCAGTCCTGATGCACGGAGGAATGCTCAACTCCTGATGCATGGAGAAAAGGTCTTCACAAGCGTCTGATAATGTGTACCTAGTTTATACTAAATGACCAATAGGTTGAGTAGGCAGTGACCGTGGTGGTGGAGGAGGAGGTTGAGGTAGCCAACACTGTATTTTATGGGTTGTTTTTTTTTTTTATTGTGGCAGCCCACAAAATATTGGGACATACAAATAAAGAAACATTTGCGGCCTGCGGTGCATTTCTTGCAGTCCTGATGCACGGAGAAATGCTCAACTCCTGATGCATGGAGAAAAGGTCTTCACAAGCCTCTGCTAATGTGTACCTAGTTTATACTAAGTGACCCATAGGTTGAGGAGGCGGTGGCGGTGGAGAAGGAAGCAGCGGTGGAGGAGGAGGATGCGGTAGCCAACACTGTATTTTATGTTTAGTTTTTTTTTTTAATTTGTGGTAGCCCACAAAATATTGGGACATACAAATAAAGAAACATTTGCGGCCTGCGGTGCATTTCTTGCAGTCCTGATGCACGGAGGAATGCTCAACTCCTGATGCATGGAGAAAAGGTCTTCACAAGCGTCTGATAATGTGTACCTAGTTCATACTAAATGACCAATAGGTTGAGTAGGCAGTGACCGTGGTGGTGGAGGAGGAGGTTGAGGTAGCCAACACTGTATTTTATGGGTTGTTTTTTTTTTTTATTGTGGCAGCCCACAAAATATTGGGACATACAAATAAAGAAACATTTGCGGCCTGCGGTGCATTTCTTGCAGTCCTGATGCACGGAGAAATGCTCAACTCCTGATGCATGGAGAAAAGGTCTTCACAAGCCTCTGCTAATGTGTACCTAGTTTATACTAAGTGACCCATAGGTTGAGGAGGCGGTGGCGGTGGAGAAGGAAGCAGTGGTGGAGGAGGAGGATGAGGTAGCCAACACTGTATTTTATGTTTAGTTTTTTTTTTTAATTTGTGGTAGCCCACAAAATATTGGGACATACAAATAAAGAAACATTTGCGGCCCGCGGTGCATTTCTTGCAGTCCTGATGCATGGAGAAATGCTCAACTCCTGATGCATGGAGAAAACTCTCAGGCCTCACTTCACAATCAACTCAGTGAAGACTGCATTTACCATCCTGCAGAAACACCCATCACTCTCAGGTACTGACTGAAGCTTGGAAGATACTCCACCTCCCGTATTACTGGATTGCTACAAAATTCTCATGTGTTACTATAGAGTTGTTACAATTGATACCTGTAGTTTGCCACTGTAATGTTATGTGCATGCAGTGTGTACCACTGTCATTTAATGTTTGTGACCAATATTTCATGTAGACAGTTATTAATATTTTGGGTGATAGAATTTGATTGCTAAACTTTTCAATAGTCTATAACACATGCCTACTCTGCCCCCCCTCCCCCTCTCACACTCTCCTTTTCCCCTCCCCAGTCGTAAATACCTTCATTGACTGTTCTATCTCTATTCCTCAGGCCTCACTTCACAATCAACTCAGTGAAGACTGCATTTTTTCTCCCCACTTCCCACCCACCCTCCCCTCCTCCCGCCCACCCAGGCTCCCCTTAAATATATAGCATGCTCCTCCAGCTGTTCGAGATTCTCACCCAATTACCTGTTCTTTCCCCTAACATCTTACCAATAGCTGCTTCTCTGTTAACTCTTTCAGCCATCACCTCCAAACTTCCCCTGCTACCTTTTGTCTCAAATCCCCCTGGTATCCTTTAGATTGTAAGCTCAAGGGCCATCTAGCTAAGCACTTTGTATAAAAGAGCTCCAATGGCTAGATATCAGCTTACGGGCAGGGCTCTCTTACCTCTTGTATTTGTTTGCGTATATTGTAAGTTTCTCAACTAATTGTACAGCGCTGCGGAATCTGTGTGCGCTTTATAAATTGCAATAATAATAATAATAATAATAAAAAAGGCCTTCATAAGCCTCTGCTAATGTTTACCTAGTTTATACTAAGTGACCCATAGGTTGAGGAGGTGGTGACCATGGCGGTGGAGGAGGAAGATGAGGTAGCCAACACTGTTTTTTATGTTTGTTTTTTTTTAATTGTGGTAGCCCACAAAATATTGGGACATACACATAAAGAAACATTTGCTGCCTGCGGTGCATTTCTTGCAGTCCTGGTGCATGAAGAAATGGTCAACACCTGCTGCATGGAGAAAAGGCCTTCACAAGCCACTGCTAATGTGTATGTAGTTTATACTAAGTGACCCATAGGTTGAAGAGGCGGTGACCGTGGCGGTGGATGAGGAGGATGAGGTAGCCAACACTGTTTTTTATGTTTTTTTTATTTTTTTTAATCGTGGTAGCCCACAAAATATTGGGACATACAAATAAATAAACATTTGCGGCCTGCGGTGCATTTCTTGCAGTCCTGATGCATGGAGAAAAGGCCTTCACAAGCCTCTGCTAATGTGTACCTAGTTTATACTAAGTGACCCATAGGTTGAGGAGGCGGTGACCGTGGCGGTGGAGGAGGAAGCAGCGGTGGAGGAGGAGGATGAGTTAGCCAACACAGTTTTTATATATATATATTTTATTTATTTTTTTAATTGGGGTAGTCCCCAAAATATTGGGACATATAAGAAAAAACAACTCTGTTCCGCAGAATAGCTGTTGACATTATAGTTGCGCAGGAACTTTGTTGACTCTAGAGAACATCAGGCAAATCGAACATTCTCGTGGCGGCGACTTTGCATGCGGATGTCATCCATTTCAACTTTCGATGCCAGTTACCACGGGTAATGGGGAATCAGGGTTCCATTCCATACAGGGACCCTGAGAAACGGCTACCACATGCAAAGAAGGCAGCAGGCGCGCAAATGACCCACTCCCGACGCGGCAAATAACAATACAGGACCCTTTAGAGGCCCTGTAATTGTAATGAGTCCACTTGAAATCCTTTAACTCTGATCAATTGGAGGGAAGTCTGGTACAGAGCCACTGACCCTTGCGTGCTGCAGCTGAAACTCCACTTTTGCCTGCTGCTGCTCGCGAAGTCTCATGAGGCGGTGAGCGAGAAGGCCGAAGTTACGCTGCAGTGCAGACAGGCGAGCAGCAGCAGGGTGACAATGCCAAAAGCGCACACAGCCGCTACAGTGAATGTCACATCCTGACAGTGTCTGGGTCCTGGTCACCGGACTGCCCACCTCACTGTGAAACTACGAATGGATTGTTAAATCTGGTACGAACCCGAACTTTACAGTTCGGGTTCGCTCAAGTCTATTATGGATCCTTTGATCGCTACATGTATTACTTGGATAACTGGTAATTCACGAGCTAATACATGCCGAAGAGCGCTAGGGGACAATCGCTCCGCTTTTGCACCCTGCTCCCTCTTATGCTGTGCTGGTGCCTCTGTGACACAGCGCCTCTTCCTCCAAACTGCACACGTCACTCGCATGACCTTCATTCCATGTGGGGTCTAGGACCTTATCATCCTCCACATCGTCTTCCACCCACTCCTCAACCCTGCTCTTCTTGCCGGTATGCACACTGCAGATAGCCACAGCAGTTGGCACCTGTGTTTTTCCAGCATGTAAAGTCTGCAAAGGACATATGGAAAATTGTTTTAGAATTTCCTCCAGGCAACAGTTTTCCCTATAAACTGACCTCTCAGTTTGACTTGTGAGGGTATTGCCCCAGAATTACAATATTGTTGAAGTACCTCTTAGCTATTGATCACTGGTTTAAATATAGCAGCTTGTTATCTGGTAGTTTCTAGTGTAGAAAATATCAATCTGTTTTCTATCACTTAGATCTGTGTAACAAGTGTTGTAGGTGTGAAACAATATTACAAGTGACTAAAGTAGTAAATTCGTATCAAAGTTACGCTTCGATTTGACTCTCAGATATGAAGTGAATACCCCAAATATACTATTTAGAACCAAAAAAAAAATTGACTTTTTAAAACTCCAATGTAAGCAGCAGATTAGCAGCAAAACAATTAGAACGTTTACAAGTGCGCAGAAAGCACACTATTAGATGCTTCGATTTGACTCTCAGATATGAAGAACAGGCCCCAAAATGTACTATTTAGCAGATTAGCAGCAAAACAATTAGAATGTTTACAAGTGCGCAGTAAGCACACTTTTAGAAGCTTCTATTTGACTCTCAGATATGAAGAACAGGCCCCAAAATGAACTATTTAGCAGATTAGCAGCAAAACAATTAGAATGTTTACAAGTGCGGAGTAAGCACACTTTTAGACGCTTCTATTTGACTCTCAGATATGAAGAACAGGCCCCAAAATGTAGATCATGGGAGTTGTACTCCACAATATCTGGAGTTGCCTACCCCTGCTCCATAGCATCTATTGTGTTTACATTTACATGTTTGTTATGTGACCTATTTTGAATAAATAAGGGGTTATTCACAGTATACATATAATATATACATATGTAATTTGTACCTTGTCATTGAGATATATCTCATACATATAAACCTTTAGAAATGCACATATTTTTCTTATAATTATAAATGAAAGTTCTTCTTCATTTATTTGTGAATAGTTTTTATCAACTGAATTCTATCTTGACACAGCAAATGCAACCATTCTATTCTCCGTCACACATGAAAGCACATTTCCAAGGATTTATCTACATTATGATTAACCAATACTTTTCATTAAATCTTCTGATTTTTTAAATGTTTGTTGAACAATTCCATTTCAATTTAATCAATTTAATATTTTGTCATGTTTAAAGCCTGACCAAAACTGAAGGCTTCAAATGTAAATAACAATAGTTTAGAAAAATAAAAATAAAATCTAAAAATAAGTGTATTTTGTTTGCAGTATTTTGAAGTTAGTACAAGAGTTAAAGGACCACTATAGTGCCAGGAAAACATACTCGTTTTCCTGGCACTATAGTGCCCTGAGGGTGCCCCCACCCTCAGGGACCCCCTCCCGCCCGGCTCTGGAAAGGGGAAAAGGGGTAAAACTTACCTTTTTCCAGGCTGGGCGGGAGCTCTCCTCCTCCTCTCCGCTCCGTTGCCGCCCGCTGAATGCTTGCAGCGGCAAGGCTTCTTGGCGCTCATTCAGCCGGTCTCTAAAAGCATTTACAATGCTTTCGCTGACTGCTCTCTGTGATTTTCACAGTGAGAAACGCATAGCGCCTCTCTAGTGGCTGTCAATGAGACAGCCACTAGAGAGAGGAAGGCTTAACCCATTCATTATAGCAGTTTCTCTGAAACTGCTATAATTATGAAAAAATGGGTTAACCCTAGCTGGACCTGGCACCCAGACCACTTCATTAAGCTGAAGTGGTCTGGGTGCCTAGAGTGGTCCTTTAAGGCATCCACATTTGCTTTATGCAACTTTTTGCTGTGAGGCCAAAGAATTCCAATTTCTTTGTATAAAATGTGCATTTAGACCGTCCATTTCCACACTTTGTGCTCTACATCCATTTTTCCAGCTATTATCATATCATCCAATAAACATTATATATGAGGATTGTCTTCCAATATATTTTCCATACTTCTTTGCCAAATTACAGTAGCTGGCACAATACTGAAACAATGTGGTTGTATTCAAAAAGTTCTTTATGCATATATTTTATCAATAACAGCCTTGCGTGTATTTGATGTTTTATCTATCTAAGCAAGGCCGGACTGGCCCACCGGGATACCGGAAATTTCCCGGTGGGCCGTGGCACTTGGGGCCGCACAGTGCAGCAGCCCTTCCTCTCCCCACCCAGCACACACACTCACATTGGGGGTACTGGGGAGCACAGGTCTCCTCTTACCTCTAGAAGAGGCTTTCCTTTATCTACTCGCGAGCAGCAGGTGCAGTAAACTGAACTTTCAATGCTGCTCGCGAGCCTGGAGTAAGTGCAGGGAGGATGGAAGTCTCTGTCCCTGCTTGACAGCCTTCACACACAGGAAGCATGTGACCTGGCAATCAGGCAGAGCAGGGCAGCCCACACGGGTCTTCCGAAGTCTTGCTTCCTGTGTGTAGAGTGCTGTCAGGCAGGGAGCCCTGTGAGAGAGCTGGAGAGAAGCTGCTGGGAAGGAGCAAGGTAGGCTCAGTGAGCAGAGGCACCCAGGCATTTCATTTTAATTGTACTGATTCTTAGAGTGCTTATATTTGAGGGTGTAGTTGTGAGTGTGTTTGGTGTGTATTTCTGTAGTGTGTGTGTCAGTATGGATCAATGTGTGTGTGTGTGTGTGTGTCTGTGTGTGTGTCAGTATGGATCAATGTGTCAGTATGGATCAATGTGAGTGTGTCAGTATGGATCAATGTGTCAGTGTGGATCAATGTGTTAGTATGGATCAATGTGTGTGTGTATGTGTCCGTATGGATCAATGTGTCAGTATGGATCAATGTGTGTGTGTGTGTGTGTGTCAGTATGTATCAATGTGTCAGTATGGATCAATGTGCCCCCCTCCTGCACAGCCCATCCACTGAACCACCAGGGAATAAGGGAATAATATAGCACCCCTCACTAGCCAGGCAACAAGCAGGGAGGGGGGCCGAAAAAAATAAATACAAATGTAAATAATATTATAATAAAATAAATTTTTTAATAATATTTTTATAAAAATGTAATATTAAAATAATAATAATAATAATAATAATAATAAAAAAATAATAAAAAATGCCCACCACCCCACCAAGGTTACACACTCTGCATCACATACACAAACACACTCTGCATCATATACACACACTGCATTCATACACACACACACACACACTGCATTCATACACACACACTCTGCATTATATACACACAAACACACACTGCATTCATTATATACACACACTGTAAATACATATTCAATTAATGTAATTTTATTGAGATCTAATTTTATTTAGAAATTTACCAGTAGCTGCTGCATTTCCCACCCTAGTCTTCTACTCGAGTCAATAAGTTTTCCCAGTTTTTTGGGGTAAAATTACGGGTCTCGACTTATATTCGGTTCGACTTATACTCGAGTATATACGGGGTATATAAAAATATATATATATGTTCAGCCCCCACGGTGATCAGCTGCCTGAGAGCAGAGGCAGGCATTGGGATCACTGGGGACTGAGTCAGGCAGGCTGCTGAAGGAGGGAGGGGGCAGCCGGTTCATGGAGAGCTGTGGGAGGAAAGCAGGCGGCTGACAGAGGGAATTGGGCGGCCAGCTCATTTATTGCAGAGGGAGGGAGAGGGGTGGCTGGCCCATGGAGAGCTGTGGTAGAAAAGGTGGGCAGCTGACGGAGGGGAGCAGCTGGATAATGGAGAGCAGAGGGAGGCGGGTGGCTAACTTAGTGCCACGGTGAAGGAGCTGTAATCTCCCTGCTCTGCTCCCTTGTGCGGCTTGCAGTGATTCACGGAGCTGGGTTATGATGTCACTCTGGCCCCCGGCTCACTAAACAGTGCGTAAGAGGGAGCCGAGTAGGGAGATGACAGCAGTGCTACTGGACCCCAGGGAAAGCATATTCTCTCCAGCTCTCTAAAGGTAGGGAGGCTGGGTGGATTTAAATTTAAATAAAAAAGTAATTACTTGTGAGTGAGTATGTCTGTGAGTGTGTGTCTGTCGGTTTGAGTGTCTGTCTCTGTGTCTGTCTGTGAGTGAGTCTAAGTCGGTCAGTAAGTATGTGTGTTCCCTCCAATCAAATGGGAAAGGGTTTTGTTTTGTTTTTACTCACCTTTTTTCCATGCTTTGGCTGGCCCCACCTCCATGGCTGAAATCCTCAATCTTGACGATCTCAGCCAATCCAATGCTTCCTCATAGCAAAGCATTGGGAGACTATTGCGCATGCACGGCAAATTGCCACTGCACCACTTTAACTTCTCATAGAGATGCATTGAATCAATGCATCCG